TGCCAGTAAAGCAACTTTGCGAGGCAGTGGTGACAGGGACTCTCGCATGGCTTTTCTAGTTTTTGCTTCAATTTTTATTGTCACGTGCTCATTTTCGTGCCTGTTGCGCGAAAATATTTTGATGAAATTTTGTGATTTTCTAGTAAAAGTTTTGTCTTAATTTTTTATTATGCTACTTTCTGAACTGAGATCATCGCTTTTAAAGCATTAAGTCTTAATTTATTAAATTTTATGATTAATTTCATCTAATTCCATACAGTCGCTGTTGCATCAGATTATAATTCTGTTTTCTAAAGGTACGTTTTCCAATCAACCGGCAGATCAGACTCTGGGTGTTGATCGTTTCTAAGATAAAAACTTTATTTTTCATGAGGCAGGATACATTCTGTATTCAAGAAAAGCATGTAATGTTTAAAGCCCAAAGTTTCTTCTACACCCTGACTGTGCTGTTTAAAATGGATTTTTACAGTAGCAGAATGAGAAATTACTTCATTTCAAATTGGTGTAGTACTGTGAATAGATACTTAACTGATTTAACTATAAATTCATTCCAGGACAGCACATGCCACCTCTTGTCCGATGTACGCACAACTCAAACAGATTGCTTAGGAAGATGCATGAGACTACTACGAATTTTCTGGATCATGTAAACTTGCTTATAGAAATTTATAACATAATTTTACATTTTAACTAAGATCTTTCCTTGCTTGTCATTGCTTTAAGTCGCTCATAGTTCAGCCCAGATGTTGGCCTTCTAATATTTACTTATTTCGCTCTCACGATGATGTTGACTGACGATTTCTAAGATGCTATTCTTTTGTTCACGAGTTATAAAAGGTGGGAGATATTTTCCAAAAGATGGCTTTTTTCTTTCCCGTATGCTCTGAACTTTAAGTTTAGACGAAATAACGATAAGATATTCATTAACTAAAACTCAAACTACTTTTAAATAATATATAATCCTCTAGAAGCAAGTTTCGTCGAAAAGAATCAACATTCACCACACTCGTCAGAAACCGAGGACGACAATGATTCGGTAAACCATGGACTACGTCGCTCATCCAGCCGTCGATTCCCATTGATGCGGGGATTTGAGAGCAAGTCTAATCCCGGGAGTGGCGCAGATTTTGCCGCTGCTGCAGGAAAAGGTGGAGATGGTGGCTCGGGACACAACCGGGACGGTCGACTGACAATACAGGTGTTAATTTTCTTCGATTTTAAATTTTTAAACTTCAACGTAATTTTTTGTGCATGAGAAATACTGCATAAAATCGCTTGCTGCAGCACTGACAAAGCTTATTACATGAGCTCTTATTGTAGTTACGTCGTGTGACATTACTTGCTACATTATAACAAAATTGTTTCATCTGTAGCCATTAATATAACGCAGCTTCGTGCATTATTTTTTCTGCATTTTGCAGGAACTTAAATAAATTTGGCCAACTTTATTACGCAGTCTATTTCTAGTTTTAATAAACAGCAACACGTTTCTGCTGACTCATTAACTGAAAAACTATCAGTGGCGGGAAAATTAGTTGCCTTGTCATAGACACCAAAGAAGTGAATAGAAAGAATGTGTAGTGAAGAGCGTGTAATTTCGAATAAGCCGTGTCACGTACCTAAATTAAAAATCTAATGAATTTATTGCCTGAATGTTGTCGAAACAGAGCTGCTTAACTTTTGTTTACTATCCTTTTTCCACGGTCTTAGTGCGAAGCAAATATATGTAAACTCCAAGCAAGCAGTGATAATCTGTCGATGTGAAGCACATTCCGGCCGCAAGCAAATTCGGCTTCTTGAGAGCTCCTTGAGTATCATCTGCCAAAGAATGGAGAGATCTTTGCCATGCCATTATCCTCTAACTAATGGGATTGACAGAGAAAATCTAGACAATGTTTTGTAGCATTAAGAAACGAAGAACACCTTTCACGTCACACTGACATCTAAAATCTGGCTAATTCAACATAAGAGCATAATTTATGCTGAAATCGATCAAGTCATCATCTTTGTGATCAATGAATGACATTTTTAATTGTCAATAATAATTCGATTGATTTGCTTCCTGCAGAATATTCGCATATTAAAATACAGAACGAGGATAAATCTACCGGCAGAAATTTATATATTCACTTTCTGTGCTATATGGGGCCTGGAGATAGCGCAGTAGAAGGGATTCAAACATAAAGTTGTCTTATTAACTGCTAATTCCCTGGAATAACTTCCCCTGTGCTTCAGTGCAACCAGATGAACAACGGGTAGCAAGTCGTTAATCTGCAAAAATAGGTGCGAGAACGGTATTCTGGAGTGGTCAGGTCAGAACGTACGCTTACGATTGCATTTCGTTTGACCATACTGACAGCTTGTTAATACAACGAATAGTACACTTAACTGTAACGAAGTAATGTTAAATACTGCTGGGCTACTTTCGCTAAAGATTTCTGTGAGATGCTTAAGCTATTTTTGCATGTTTAATGAAGAATTATAGGTTACCTTAGAAAGCGATTGTGTTTCGGTGGTTTCGCCCGAAGACGCAAGTTTCGCGTCGACTACCACCAGTTTCCCGTTTCTGGAGCCGGAAGATTCGGACCCGTTGGAGAATAAATTAGACACACCGGTTGCGTCTGTCCCTGGCATGTTAACTTCGTTTGGCTGCTCTTCCGGAAGTGAGGATGGTGGAGTCAACTCCATAACACCTCAGACGCCGGCTGATGACGACGATGACAACAACGACAGTGGTGGCAGTTCGCCATCAGGCACGGAAATGCCGCCAAAACTAAAGCCGGCCGGACAAGACAGTGAAGAGAGTTCGGACGGGGACATAGAACGACTGCGGATGGACAACGTGGACAATGACGACGATGTTTATCGCCAGGATCGGCCGCCTGTGTTGCAGCCGATGGTGTTAGACAAGACAGAGTCGAGATCATCGCCCTGCAGCGACCTCACCAATGACTCGACGATCCCGGCATTGTCCAAAGCGCCCAGCTTCGACTCGTGCAACGCCGACGATAATGAAAAGGCAACCGACAGTATGGATGCCATTTCTCCGGCTGGCAGCTGGCACAGGGAGGGAGAAGACGAGAGGGAAACTGATAAAGGAGATGCTAGCGGCGAATTTCGCGCCTCGGACTTTCAGTCACTCTCAGAACCTTCGTCATTCGACGACACCAAGGCTGAATGTACGGATGCGATGAAGGACAAATACACCCCTGTTATGGTCAGTGGTGACTGGACGATTCGCGGCAATAACAAGGACAAGGAGACGCATCCTAACGTGACCATCAGCACCGACGGCAACTGTGCCATGGACAATGCAGAGATGGTTTTGTCCCAAATGTCCGTCGACACCATGCGCCTAAGGAATATACCTCTAGGTGGTGGCAGCAGTGATGGTGTTAAGACTCGCCCTGTAGCAGCGGTCACCGTCGAAGGTAGCAGCTCTCCGCAGTCGACGGTTAGCACCAAATACAACGTGAACGATGCTAACAATGCGCTTATGCGAAATGTGCCACCAGTCCCGTCGCAGGATGCAATAAATGAGCAGAATTACATTCAGATGGAGAATTTGAAAGCTCAAAATCTATTGTACAATCACGTTGGTTCTTCGCCGAAGTCATCCACATCCTCACTGTGTATCGGCAGCGGCAACAACACGAGGAATATGCCCCCGTCTTCGAACAGCAGCAACACAGTGGGTATGTCTGTGGCAGCAAGTATGGTTTTAAACGACTCCCGTTTGCGATATCCATCACTATCACTGTCACAGACTATGCAACTGCAGCAACAGAACGTGGTCAGCAGCTACAGTGATCAGTCGATGGTCGCCGTTGCCGCTGCATCCACTGGTATTCGGTGTCCGTCGTCTACTTACTGCAGCTCGACATCTTCTGCCTTGGCACCCCCGCCGCAGCCCGTCGCCACATCCTATTACCCACCAATAGCTGCCGCCGCCGCTGCTGCCCAACAGCACGTGGTCAGGTCGTTGCCCGCGGCTCCAGTGGTCAACGCGCCCGCCGCCGCCACACCTTTATCCTCCTCGGTATGCATGCCGCAGAAGCTAAGCCACTTCTCACAGCACCAAGCCGCAGCTGCCGCTGCAGTTCTACCTACCGACTGCTTCCTCGGACATTCGATCCAGTCCGGGTCAATCTTAGCTGCCGCTGCTGCCGACGACGGCTCTAAACTGAGGCAGTACATGGATCGCATTCCACAACAGCACTACGCCATCAGCAACCCGTTTCAGCATCATCATCACAGCTTTCCACCGTCGCAGAATATGCAGTCCAACCCACCGACCGTCAACCAGTTCGTCAACCCGGCCTCTTCCAGCAGACCCCCGTATTTTTGCCAGTTTAGTGCCCTGCCGGCAGCAAATAACCAAGGTCAGGCGGCCGCCGCTGGCTACTACTACGGCTACAAGAACGCCACGGCCGGCAGTTGTCTCTCGCAGCCAGGTCCGGCTGATGTCATACCGGCCATCAACACCAATTTTTACATGAATCCCGCGTATGTGCCACAGGCTATGTTCTCTGGATCCGGTAATTCGTACTTTCCGACAAATTCCGCAGCGTTCATCGCCGCCAGCCAACAGCAGGTGCAGATGGGTATGATGGGATTTCCGCAGCCACCGAACTTCCAGGACTCCTCGGCCGGCTTCAGTTCCGGTGGATGCGTTCGCGGAAATGCCGCGGCTTCAGCGGCACCCATCTATTACAACTGTAATTATTTTAGTTCACCGATGATGCCGGGTACTCGAAAGTTTTAACTACCCTCTTCCTACTCAAAGTTGTTATTGTATTATAGCTATCGAGCGATCATGAACATGACATGCTATATTTTTTGTCTCTGTGAAACGTTTGGAATTTGTCCAAAAAGCGCCTATTAAAAGGTGTTTTAGTATATATTATTTTTCCTAATTCAGTGCTGGAGGCTTCTGAGAAAGCAATGCCCCTCCCCACGCAGCAATCAATTAACCTCTAGTTGAACAACACTGGCGGACTAAACTTTCAAAACCAATATACATTAAAAAAACGCGTCTTATTGTTAGTAAACTTCAGTCATTTCGAAAGGAAAAGGAATGTCTACAACCGTTGGAATGTTTCATGACTGGGCCATTGTGGCGTACGTTTTTCTTTTCACCCACACTTCTGGGCGCGGTGCTGATCTCCGCTTATATACTATAAGCCAAAAATGCGGTTTTAAAAACAGGCTACAGCGAAGAGAAAACCGTAGCCATTTCCTGTTTCTTTTCCATAGAGTGGTATTCATTTATCAACGTCAGAATGAGGAAAGATGAGTAACCCTGATCGGAGCGGGTTCTGAGTTCGACGTTCTACCGACCGAACAACCCCGGTCTGAAGCAACCTGGAAGATTACTTGCTGAAGTGAATTCATGAATAAGACAAATATTAACCTCGCACTGAATCAAACCCGGCACTTCTGGAGTTCGAACATATTTCTTAGGTACGGTGCCACCATGCCAGACGTCATCTCAAATTGAACCACTGACACGATATTAAATTAGTTTTTAATTTAAAAATGCTGTCTATATTTTAATTTGTATCGACACTTCGTCAAGAATAAAATTTTCCATGAGTCGTAGTAGCAAATACGACTCTCTCAGCATAGACCACGTGGAACAGCAGCCAGCTGTCAGATAGTGGACAAAACAAGAACCGCTATTACGTAGGTCGTAATCGTGTTTACGTCCTAATGCTACCCCCCCCCGTCGTTTGATGCCCCGGTCAATGTGTTCAAATCCATAAGCATACTTGAACAGACGTAACGCCCGCAGAAAAAGTTAAGGACGATGAAGCACAGTCCTACGTAAGGAGGGAGAGAAGACGGACAAGCGCCAAAAAGGTCTAGCCATTTGACACTGAACCCGTACTACTGCCGGCAAAACAGTAACCATGAACTTTGTTCAAAAATGACGTTTCAGGGCGATCCTTCGTTTTATTTTAGACACCTGTTAAAGAAAGGCTAATGATGAATTGACCTTCCGGCAGTAATCACAAATACTGCTGGAGAAACAGTGCGTTGGCTGCTGAAAACGCCTTAACTGCGAACGCGAATCACCCCAGTAGAGAACTTACTTAGCATCAGAAATCTCTTCTTGACAACCGGAGCTAAAGTTTATAAGTCAACCAAATGATCGTCATATCACAGCGATAACTTTTCTCCTCGAAGAAACCTATTTGCCGTTGTCGAACTTCCTATGTCATCTTTGACCGATTTGTACTCTGTTTAACACGACGGAAGAGTGGGGTAAAAAAAATAAGATGATAAAATCAGACCTGGTTGTCAGCACAGCACTGCGTCCTTGAATTAGCTGAAAAAACGGGATAAGACGCCGCTGTTCTCCGAAAGAGAAAAAATGCTGCTAGATGACAAGAAGCAAGAGTTCTCAAGGAAGACATTACCCACAAGGAATTAAAGCACAAACACCGCCGCTTCAAGTAGCGATTACATTTAATTGCCGCATACGATTCAAATAACCGCCATCGCCACAAGTATAATTAGCAGAGGCTTGAACCTAAACAGCTAATCGTCAGATTTAATAGTATCGAACGAGACGAGAAAACAGGTTCGCTTTTCGACAAATACTGATTATTACCACGTTCTACCATCGCACTTATGAGAAGAACGCTGACAAATAACGATGCACCATTAGAACCTGGTTTGCGTATCAAACTGAGCATACGAAAAGCCCCAGAAATGTGAAATACATACGCTTACCGCTTCATCGCCATGTTCAGGACGGGAACGAATGATTAGCGGACGCAGAAACCCAGTTTGCTGCCAGCATTTATAACTGTATAACAAGTCTCCAATCCCATATGTCAGAAAGGAAAATCGAGACATGAAACCGAAAATGCCAGTCACAGCATCCAAACCGAAATCGAAACAGTCTCCTCTGCCGCTGAAGTTGGACGACTTACTTTAATACGAACCGAAGAAGCACGCCAAAATCTTTAGTCTTCTAAGAAGCCACTCCATATAACATGAAGCCATGGTATGCTTAAACGATCCTCTAGGCAAACAGTGGCACAGAAACAGTGCAAGAAACCGCTAAATCTGACTTTTACGTAGTTATAATATACTTTACCTATGCCATCTCACAAATATGACACCATTAAACCTAAACGTAAATACCAAGGGCTATCATCTACGAAGAGAGCATGAAGAAATTTTTCATTCATGCCGTCTACATCATGTAACGAAACAGACGATCGAAACCAACTGTGAATGCAGCCGTGAATCGCTGACTGCATTGGCTGATATGGTCTAACTTCAACAGTAGAAGAGATGGTTTCAAGGTTCGCTTAAGATCATATGGCTAGAGTTTCCATTTTCGTTGCTCGATTCCTATTTCTAACATATGGACTACTAAGCCTGCTTTCCGTCTGATGCTGACAGGCAGCCAAACTGTCTAACATCCCGAACGCGGGGAAGAAGTAAGCGTCTTTCTCATTCCTGATGTTTTTTCTTTAGCGAACAATATCCAACTGGTGTGCCATCGTCATCAACCTTCTTCTCCTAAATGCTACCGAAAAGCGTGCAGATCCGTGCCCCGATGACTAACATGATTAAACAAGGTTCACTGCGGTGTAAGCTTATACCCTGACAAAGTCATTAGTGCCAAATAACAAAAACCATCAAGAATGTACATGAAACGAATAGTTTTTAAACTTACGCAATTTTGCTTGTCTTTATGTCTAAAGTTCAATAATTAGAGAATCACTGGATGGCAGAAACTTAACAATGTCCTGGCGGTTGTAATGTTCACATATCACATTGCCGGACACAACAAGTACATGCAGAGCGCGAATATTGACGAGTGGCCGCAGGTCTGCCGGTTTCCGCAGTCGATTGTTCGCAACGGAAACGTTGCGCAATTTCTGCAGATCCTCCAAGCCAACGAGAGAGGTCAAACGGTTGTCGTTGGCGTACAACTCTTCGAGATGCAGGGCATATTTCAAAGGCTGGAGGGAACACAGGCGGTTACGATTGACGACGAGCACCGTCAGGTGAACAAACCACACTCCGTCACACAGTGAGTGAAGGTCGCGGTCCGACAGGTCTAAACGTTTGTCCGGCGTGCCTCCAGATAGGCTGTGGACCAACTGAAACTTTATCAAGTATCTGCTCAAAAAGTGCAAATACATTTTCTTTCGGCTCGGGTCTAGAGTGACCAATTTGTTTAAATAGCCAACTATATCGTTGGAAAACTGCAGAGGGTCCAAAGCGATCATCGCGTTAACAGCCGTCAGATAAGCCCAATGATTATCGGGTTCCAACTCGATCAGTTTCTTGCAACCGTACAGGTCTTCTTCAAGGGCTCGCTTCAAACCAGAGGCGAACATGGAGGAGAACATGTAGTTTCGATAAGCCGTCAGGTCGGTCCAAACGAGCACCCGATGCTTCGTCCAATTTTCCAACTTGCGGGTAATCGTCTGACCCCTGTTATCCTTTCCTGAAGAAGGTTTCTGACGGTACTCTACCTGAAGACATGGAAGATCGCCCAACGAGACGTCCGGCAACGGTGCGCACAACAATCTGCAGGACCTTGTCCCGTCTGAAGTGCGCCATGGCAGGTGAAGATGAAGACACTCTTTGTTACTGTCTCTTCTTACCGAAACGACGACGATGCTTGTCTCTGCAGAAATGGCCTGGTCAAAAACCAGGCAGATACCGGCGGTGGCGGGGTCGAAAACTGCCTGCAACAGATTCAGAGGCCGGGGCTCCGACACGGCGAACAGCCAGTTGTGGTAAAACCATGAACTCTGATCTTCGGGGTCGGTGAAGAACGCATTTTGAACGAAGTTTAATTCCTGCTCGAACGTCGCTACGTCCACTGGCAAATTCTTTGTTTCCTCACCGTTCGACAATCCATCTTCGTCCTCCGTGGTTTTCAATGGCGGATGTACCACAGGCAAGAGGGCCGAACGGCTGTGCCATGCTGAGTAGTTGGAAAAATTCTCGCTCACCTTTTTGTCTATGAACGCTAACTCTTCGGCTGCGCTGCGTTGACCGAATCTGAAAAGCAGGAACAGCTTTACACATTATACAGCAATTACTTGATTTTCACCATCACAACAAACAGCGTTTACGCAAAGCGTCTATTTTATACCGGTGCACCACTGATTCTATTAATGATTCCCCTTTCCCTCACATTCAAATATGTCAAGCAAAGATATAGTTTGGAGGAGGTGAAACGAGAGAGAGAGAGCAGTGGCACAGTGGGTCAGTAAGTTGCTTTGCACGTTACAGCATGAATTGAAACTCAAAGGCCTGTATTAATTTTCTCTGATTATTTTCCCATTTTTACTTAAGCAAGGAATTTAATCCAATGTGCATCGGTGCAAACACTCTACAAACGGGTAGCAGAACTTTGTTCTGCGAAACGTATGAATGGCATGGTGTTTTGGTCGTCAAGTCAATACTTGCGATGTATTCGATCATGCATACGATTTATTGCTGCAATTCGCCTTGACCCACCTGACAGCTGACTAAAAATCAGCATAAAGTGCAAATGAAAAATGTAAAATTTAAATTTTAAATAATTATTGTTCAGTAGTCATGGCACACCACCAGAGTACTATTGCACTATTTATACGACTCGACGCATCATTACACCTCAGGTCATTTGAAAACAAGTTCATGCACTTCACTAACAGATTTTTCTCAGGTCATGTAAATTTTCGATACAGTATCTCTATTGCATAGGATTTTACCCCATAATTTCGTACAATTTTCTCCTTTACATCATGAAATATCCCTCTACGGTACTCCTGCAAGAAAACACACGGGTCGCACAAATTTGAAAAAAAAAGCATCACCATGTGCACGGTATATCATCGCCTTTTTGTCAAACATCCTCCGACAGTGGTTATTATGTTTATCTAAGCCAGTCCACAGAGAAGCGTCATTTGCATAAAGTAGTCAAAAACAGCATATTACGCTTTTCTACTATGCCATACTAATAATCAATATAGGAAGTTCAATAGTAGGAGAGACAACTCAATACCGTGTATAGAACTGTATTATACTACTGAGGATCAATACGGCGCAGAATAGTAGAGTCTCATGAGTCAGTTTTTTTCGTCCAGTAGCTAGACGGTAGCATTAAAAAACATGCTGCATGTTTTCACTGAGGATTAATTTTGACGATAGCCCTTAATTTTTCCATCCCGGGTAGTAATCATAGTGTCGTTTTGTTTGAGAACTGCCTTAATTAGTATGGTATTGAAACACGATATAATATGGCAAACTAAAAAAGTCTGTACCGTTTAATATTGAATGACGTAAACCATGATGGTGTGTTTCACCATTCTCATGTAAATCATAAGTTATTCTCTGTCAACAGCATCAAAAGATTGCATTGTCCCCCGAGTATCCTCTAACTGCAAATTCGTTGGAGCAAAACTGATATTACTGACCAATCTGAAACAAGATTACTTTTAACTCGTCACAAGATCATCGACTATTTCATAATTAGAGAAATCAACACTTATATAGTTATAGTACGAATGCAAGTGATAAAGACTGCACTGCATATACCTTGAGGAGAAAGAAAGGGAGTATAAACCATTTTGCCTCTGTCGAAGAGTCTACTTCAATAATCTACCTATTACAAAATTCTGTCTTTATTCTACTAATGTGCTAATCGCAACACGGCAGACGTCGGCCAGAAAGCCAGCATACAACTTGGAGCAATGAGGTATCAGCAGTTGTTTACGGATAGAAACTTTTCCTTCTATGATGCAGCAACCAGCGCCTTATCGCAAAGCACTGAAAAACTGCAACTGCAACGGATATCATAAGAGACACAGCAGCCCAGTGATAATCAAATCAAGCATATGAAACTCCCTGGTGAGTTGAAAATATTAATTTTCACCGTAATTCAGACCGCCGAAACAAACCTTAACAAACTGACAAAAAACGTCGCTTTTGGCACCGAGCAGGTCGATATAGCATAATAGCAAAAGGTCATTATCTACCACAAACGAAAAAGAACTTACGTTTACGAGAATCGACTGTTACTATGAAATAGAAGAACGTTACTAACGTAGCAAGCTACTAGATTCTGATCTACCACCTGACAAATTTCTTTTCGTTGTGCTTGAATGGACCATTTGTATGCTGCATTTTAGTGTAAAAGTCACAGAGAAACATGGTGAATCAGACGGAAACAAAACAATGAATTTAAAACAATAATAGACAAAAGTTGCATAAATATCAAGTGCTTTCCGTCCATTAAAACTGTGATTAAAAATCAAGAATAAATGATGAAAAGCCAAGTATCATAATAGTATTCTATGTTATCCGAGAGAAACAAGCGCGAATACGCACATTAAAATACCTGCATATGAAACGACGATAATCCCAACAATGAAAGTTGCGGTCGTCCATTTCCAACGCCTTTTCGCAGTGGCGCAGTTCCGTCTCGCAGTCGTCCTTCACGCCCGCCACAGTGATCATCCACACACGATGATGCCATGCCGAATATGACTTGGGATTCTTCGCAAGGCCCACCTCCGTCAGCGACATTTCGGCATCGAACACGTGCCTCGGCACCTTCTGCCACTCGCCATCTGCTACTCGTTTCAGAATAGCCT